CCCCCCGCCCAGACCCCCGCCCCGTGGGTTGCGGGGGGGTGGTGTGGGGGGTGGGACACCCCCCCAAATCTTAATTTTCCTGGGTTTGAGAAACACTGCTCTAAGACATCCTTGATCCTTGGCCACATTGCAACCTAAAATGGATTAAAAATGGGAGTGAGAAGCCTCTAGGAGGCAAACTGCTCCAAATTCTCCCCTTCAAACTCCCATCCAAGCCCCTCAAATTCATCCAAAATTTTGAAGCCAAACTTTGGCCACTTTGATGCTGAATTTCAACAGAGGAATGTCACACCATTTCTGGAAAGTTTGAAGCATTTACATTTGTAAATTTTTATGTCCAGTCCTGGTGGGAACAAGAACAGTTTACCTTTCAAAGGCTTCCAACTCCCATTTGAAGGTCCTAAAAAACAGCATGAAAAAAACAGTCCACCCACTCCAGTAATACCACCTGAAGAAATCTGTGAGTGAACTGCAGCCCCTAATCCTGGAAAAGTTGCCCACCCCACAAGAGTAATAGCAATAGCTAACATGGTCTTAAAGGTACCAATATGACTCCATAAAACATATCTCTTGGTGCCAACCAAGCTTTTTTTCCCACCTGTCTTTTTTTTAAAAATTTTTTTAATATGTCCAAAGAAATAGGATGCTAATATGCTATGTACCAAAGCATCAGCCTCTAGCATCATAATTATCTATAGCAATTAGTCTGGAATGGTGTGGAGTTCACCTTCTGGAAACAGGTGCTTTGGAACTTGACATACTCACCTTAGCAGATATTATTGTGACTAGGTGCATCGTTATCCATGGCAGCCATTCCCATTATATGTTCTCAAATTTCTAAATGCACCCACAAAGATTGTTTAATAAGCTAGTACTAGAGGTAGACAATGTTCCCTTTATAAAATATATAGTGAGAAATACAGAAGCAGTGTATTAGCAGGATCTCTGTGAAAGCACCTGGAAAGGCTAGCAACCCTACAGTATTGCCATAAAAATTTTGCCCAGCCCTGAGTGCCATTCTCACCGATTTACAACCAGGAAGAAAAAGATACTTACTGATGCCTTGCATACAGAATCTGCATGGAATCGGCTGAAGTTGCTTTTGTTATAAACTGGCAACCCTTTCAGAAAGTCAGCCTAGAAGAAAAAAATTCCAGTCACAGGCAAGTAGACTAGATCTCAGGATCTAAAGGAACACCCCTCTGGTCACAGATGGGCCACATCATAACCTAAGTTTGAATAATTTTTAGCAGCTAGCAGTGGGTATTTTCCTTTCAAAGAAGGAACTTTATCCTTTAGCAGTTACCTCTGACTGTCTAATTTCCTTTTATCTCCCATCTTCCCTAAATAAATCTGGCTTCATGGCACAAACAAGCCACCTGTTTCACAGGTAACTCTTAACTTAGATAAGCAGTTCCTTCACGGTGCCCCAACCTTTCTCCACCCGTAAGAGTAGACAAGAGCAACCATGCAAGGGGAAGGGGCAAGAATGGAACAGGAACCAAAGCCAGGATCAGTAACCAAAGCCAGGATCCTATTCTTAAAACCTGAAACTCGAGAGCAGCTCTCTAACAGTTCTCCCTAACTGAATAATATACCCTACACTGTCTGTTTAAATGGAGCCTAGACAGCCAATTGTCTGAGACGCTTTCATTTGGATTCCTGAACCGAGCAGGGGTTGGATGCCAGGGCCTCAGTGCTCCTCCCAATTTTGGGACTGAATTAAGCACAGCACCCTAGCAGAACGCTATCCAACTGAGCCTCCATTCCCAGCACAAGCTCCCTCTCCCCACAGACACCCCCAGAGGCAGGCGGAGGCTGGAAGAAGGGACATCTCCTCCTTAAGCTTATTCCAGCAGTATTCAGCCCAAGCAAGGTCTCTGAACCTTTCTTGATCCACAGCTGAAATCTGACCCCCCGCCCCGATCTTCCAATTTCAAGCGTTCCCCCGACTCTCCAGACAAACCCTCCAGACCCTCAGAAACGTCCCATGCTTCCCTGCCGCCTGATCCACACCCCTGAGGGCCTTCTAAGTTCAGCCCCGCCAACGTCCATTTACGGGTGGGGATCAGCATGCAGGGCAGAGCTCCCAGATATTCCTCGAGGCCTCCTCCCATTGCCGGGTCCCAGCCAAGTCCTCACGCACACACCCCAAATTCCCCACGAGCCCCCCAACAGGACCCTCCTCCCTCAAAAACCTTCTCAGCGCAAGCCCGCCGTCTCACTGCCCCTCCGCCCCATCCGAGAGCCCCAGGCCTCCCCACCCCCGGCATCATCCCGCCTCTGTACAGCGCCTGGCACACATTCCTCCCGGTTTAAGATCACCACCCGGCACGCCCCCTCCCATGGGGAGCCCTGCCTTCCCCCTGAAGGGGAGGGGACACAAAGCCGGGGGAGCTGCTTCCATATCTAAGGTTGGGAGTGCCCACCTACCATCTTCCCCCACCAGGCGCCTCCTCAACAACTTCTCATCCTCCTCCTCCTCCTCCTCCTCTTGGGTTCCCTGCTCGGCCACGCCCCATCAGAAAGGCCATTGGGTCCCCTCTGGCGGAAGCTGAGGCGCCATTGGCTCATATCGACGTCGCTCCGAAATGAACGCCCACCCCCTCTATCCCGCCTCCAGCTACGGAAGGGGAAAGGGGAAAAGAAAGACGGAAGTAAACCCCGGATGAGATGCTTTTCCTCTGTGGCATCATGGGAAATGTAGTGCCTCTGGGAAAAGGAATCGTGGTTCTTTTTCATAAACCTAATCTTCTCCAATTCTAAGTGCCTATCGGGGGCCTCGTTTGGGATGTTTGGGAGTTGCAGTCCAACCCATCTGGATGATACATCTGGATAAAACTCTAACAGAAGAGAATATATGTAGCTCAGGGTTGGACAAAATTGGAGGCGCCTGTCTCCTCCTTTTTATGCTGGTAAACTTCTACAGGCATTTTCTGATTACTGTTGGAAATAGGATATTGATACCCAACAGGACTTGGATTATTTAAGCATGAGTTTATTTATCCAGTTCTATTGATACACGTTGCAGTGAGCTTTGGTAATGGCCGCCAATTTAGATGATTTAAAAAAGAACTAGAAACATGTATAGAACTTTAGTTTACCAACAGCTATGAATTTTGATAGCTAGACTATAAAGGACTTCCAGAATCAGCAAAAATACATAAAATACCATCTTCTGTGGGAAACAGTGGGAAAGGGCTATTATTCTCCAGCGTATGTCTGCTAAAATTCCCGGATGCATCTTGTACCACAAAATTTATTTATTTATTTATCATATTGGTGTATATAGCTACCTATTTTCACCCAGGCCTTTGGGGAGGGAGAGTGAGACAACTCACTTCATCGTGCTTGCCATCTTTCATCTTTATGTTTTTTTGATTTTATTGTAATTTGTTTGATTCTTGTGAGCCTCCCAGAGTTGTTGAGAGGTGGGCGGCATCCAAGTTTAATAAATCATTATTATTGTTATCTTTCAGTTGTGACTCTGGGTGACACATAGAGGATTAAAGCCAACAACCACAATACATAAAGTAAATAATAATACTAACAAAAACATAACAATAGCACAGTAGCATCTGAGGACAATCCAACAAAGCCAGTATCACTGCAGTCATAATAAGTCATTTTGCAAGCTCACCTAATACCCAAGTCCAAGGGAACATCCAGATCTTAAGGACTTCCAAAATGCTAGCAGGGTTGAGGCCAAGCAATCCTGAAAATGATATAGATGTGCAGGCTTTCCTAGATAACAGCACGTAGCCAATTTTGACTGTTCTCAGAGAACTAGGCAAGAATGGACCTCGTTAGCACTTGGATAAACCACCACCAGAAATCCCAGGGCTGTGGATTAGATTGGGAACTAAAAAAGTAGATACATCCTGGAATTTGACATTAGCATTTCATTCATTCATTCATTCATTCATTCATTCATTCATTCATTCATTCATTCATTCATTCATATAACCACCCATCTCACACAGGATTCTAGATGGCTTACAATAAAATACATAAAATACAAAATATAAATAATAAAACACATAGCAGCCAGGGACCATCCAACCAATTATCAACCCACTCAGGATACAGGCTGTCACATGCCCAGGGCCCCAGGCTTGGACACAAAACCAAGTTTTCAAGGCCTTACAGAAGTCCAACAGGCACGGGGCCGATAATCTCAAGGGGGATAATGTTGGTTGGGGGGGGGGGGGGGGGGACATGGCAGAAACTTTTGCTAAGAAAACTACCTGGAGAATGTTAACAAAGTCATCAGCCATCAAGCTTGATCTGAAGGAGACTTTGCCTTTGGGGAGTGCAAAATGTAGCAGTTAACATGCTTCATAGCAGGTATGTTTCAGATCAAGTGACAGGTCTTACATTAATTGCACTGGCTTGGTTTCAGTTCTATTTCAAGTTGTTGGGTTTAGGCCCCAAGACCTTAGAGGCTTTTTTTTATTGAATATGTGCCCTCAAGTCGATGTTGACTCTTAGTGACCACATGCATAAATGTTCTCCATGACAATCTGTCCCTAACCTGGCCTTCCAGGACTTCCAACAATGCAGCCATCGCCACCATAACTGAGTCCATCCACCTTGCTGCTGGTCATCCTCTTCTCTTTCCTTCCACCTTTCCCAGCATTAGAGCCTTCTCCAGAGAGCCGGGTCTTCACATAATGTGTCCAACCTGCCTCACCCACATCAGGTTTCTTTAATCTGGTGCCTTTGACCTGGTTGGTCAAGACATCTGGAAGGTACTAGATGGGAATGAATGTCTCATAACAACCTGTGTGTATCTTGCAGCTTTTGGAGCTCCTAAAGGAAACTTTTCTATGATAGCAATACTGTTGTGGAATAATGTCGCAAGGGAATTTTAAACTAGCCCCATCCTTGAAAACTTATAGGCTTTAGTTTGCATTGTTTGTAATGATTTTGGAAATCAGAAGGGTTTTTTTTCTCAATTTGCTTGATTTTAATATTTTTTCAAATAATGTTTTTATTGGGCATTTTATTGTAAATCCTCTTGGGAGTAAATTAATTGTAAAGAAGGCACCACCTACATCACTTCACTGAGCTACACATATCCTCTTTCAAACAGTGATCAGAAGATCACTGTATTCCAGATACAGACACTCAGTTATTATGGTTTCACATCTTTTTACATCTTACATATAGATGTAAAAAATAAATCTTAAAAGAGATGCACAAGGTTGCCACTCTCCCATATTATCCTCACAATTCTATGAAACTCAAAGTGACCAGAGAGATAATTAGATTTGAACTTACACTCTGACACACTCTGTGCATACACTGTAAACCATACCAGTTTACTCACTCTTTTTATTGAATTGGATTTTTTTTTTTTAATCAGCAATTGTGTATCTTAAATTTTGTTGTAAGCTGCTTTGGATGTTTTTATAGAAAGGTAGGACATAGCACAATTATAAGAGCTCCTTTGGGAGGAAGAGCAATGTAAAAAAATAAAACCATCAAATGGGGAAAGAACCTGCTGTGATAAGGAAGACAATTACATCTGAACTGTATTTGCCTCTCAAAATTGCCTTTGTTTTATTTTAAATGCATCATTTCAAATATCTTTACAAAAAAGCAAATAAATCTAACAACTAAATGGAGGCTGCACCCTTTTCGGACCCAGCCTGACTCTCCCAGCCCCCTGCAATCCTATCAAAACCAAACAATAGCAGCCTTCTCACCAGCTACCAAGTACTCAAGTACCAAGTACTGCAACGGAGGAGCAAGGTGAGAAATGCCAACGTTCCATCCTCAGTCAGCCTGATTATCTCGACGTTCCATCTCTGTAACAAGAGTCTTCCCCAAGGGCCCTTGGCCTAACAATGGAAATAACCCCAGGTACATGGACAAAGACCCGCCCAGCTTCCCAAACTGGCCAGCAAATCAGATCCCTAGAATTTCCCACCTTGTAGCCTTGAACTCCTGTAAAAAATTCTATAAAAATCTTTGCTTCCCCATTGTTCAGGGTCTCCTTTTCTTGTAAAACAGGTACTCAACCATCATGGCAAGAAACAAAGTTCTCCAGTGTTGTGCTCTGAAATTCTGAATTTTCCACGACAACTGAGATCTAAGTCTAGACAAAAACAAACAAAAAACCTATATGATAGAAGGAGCAGAACCTTTTCCAGAAAACTAGTAACGTTTAATAATTACATCTTAAATACTCACTTAAAAAAAGTACACGCTTATTCATTTTGACATTTGAAATAGGTTTATTTATTCTTGATGAAACAATTTTAGATTCACAATGAAAACAGGAATCACTATAATTACCCCTGTGTGCAAAGGATGCCACATGGAACTGTATATATTATAGCAACATATACATCAAGCTTCCAACTTTGTTTGAAAGGGTCTCACCAGAGAAAATTTTAATGGGTCAGAGATTTTCTGCCTTTCAGCATCCGGCGGAGAATCACTTCAATCCCGCTGGCTGTGCGGATGCGTTTAATCCATCCATGTTTGTGCTTTCGCTTGATATTTGATGGCTGGTACTCATTGCCCCGGCTTTTTTGACGAATCTGCTGGTAGCTCCATGGCACAACTGGCCTAGGAACTCTTTGGAAGGCACAGGCATACTCTGCTGACCGACAGGAGTTAAGAATCTGTTGCCATGGGGTGGAAAATGCAGAAACGATTCCGCGTTGCCAAAAGGTGGAGGTCATAGTTCTTGCATCAGGAAGAGAGATCTGGGAACAGAAAGGGAGAAATCAAAACGGTGAAGAAATATTATAATCATTTTATTCTGCTCTTCTGTTAAAGCTCTGAATGGTATATATGGTTTCCCTCCTGCTCAACAGCCCTACATGGCTGATTAGAGTCTGCTTGTGTGTTTTATTGCAGAAAGATTTGAACTGAGAATTCTCTTAGTCTAATGCGGGGGGGGGGGAGAGATAATCAGTGAGAATTTTGTCTTTGAACATGGCACATTATTTTTGCTCAAAACAATTGGAGATTTAAGTCTGTGACTATTTTATCCTTGCTTTATGTAGGTGTTGAAGGGGCTGGAAGAGGGAAAAAAACAGAAGAAACAGCCAATATTTTACATATTCTTTTATATTCATGTTATTTTCTTATTCTTGTTAGATATTAGTAAAGGAAGAATAAGAGAAGCTCGCTTTCTTTACAAGTATTTTCCTTATGGAGATGAAGGATGACAGCATTAGTAATATGTTTGGTGATACATATACCAGAGCAATATATTTATTTTAATCAATTTATATGGCCACCCATCTTGCAACGGTGACTCTGGGTGGGTAACGCAATTTATCATTTTTTAATAAGCACTCTGTCTTGGGGGATTACTAATCTGATGTGATGGGACAGCTAAGAAGCTCTAATGACTTGGAGCTTTCCAAGTTCAGAGAAGGGTAGGGTCACTCTTGCCAATAAGATCGAAAGGGAGGGATAGGGACCCAGCAGTAATCCACAATGAGAGCAGGTGGGGCTCTGCAGGCATGACAAAAATAAACTCATCTCAGAGAAGGAACTCTAAACCCACAAGAAGGCAATAGAAAACAATCTCTTGAGGTCAGTGTTTTTCAAACTTGGCAACTTTAAGATGTGTGGACTTTAACTCCCAGAATTCCCCATCCAGCAAGTGCCCAGAGTCACTTGCTGAGATGGGCAGATATAGAAATCAAATAGACAGACAGACATGATGCTGTTTGTTTGGGTCCTGGAATCTCCTTTAACGTCTTCCTGCTTCTGCACCCATCCTAAATTAGCCAACAACACAAGAACTTCAGAAAACAGCAAAAAGGAAGACAATGGATCAGGGTATGGATAGGATCGAAGGGTTTACTGAAATATCCTTGGAAGAGCTATGAGTAATAATAAAACAGTAATCAAGAATGGTGAGCCTTTGTCCACAGGATCGCAGAAGTACCCAATTTGACAGCATTTAACTAATAAAAAATAATGAAAAAGGAACCAGGCTAGGCCCTTCCTTGAGAATTGCCTGCCTACTTGTAAAGCCAGCCTGAGAATTTGGGTTTCTTTCCTGAGAGTCAATTTCAAGCCCACTCACCGTAAAAACAAACTGGTGACTGCCCACGGCAGGGCCCTCTCAGTTGCGGCACCCTTCCCAACGAAGGGGGAGTTCCTGTGGCCTGCATTTAGAAAGGCAGCACATTAGGTTTATTTTGGCAACACTTTATTCCCTTAAGCTGACGTTATGCTGTTCCTACTCTCTTAAGCCGTTTAAAACTGTTTCACCATGACTGCGGCTGGGGAATTCTGGGGATTGAAGTCCACCCGTCTTAAAGTTGCGAAGGTTGAGAAACACCGGGCTAGACTAAGCAGCAATCGGTTCCTGAGACCTGAAGGGAACGGGGAGGCAGAGCAGAAAGAACCGGTGGGACCCACCCGCTCAGAAACGGCTTCCCGCTCGGCCTCTTTAGTCCCCGCCGCTCCCGGGGTTTCGCGCGGGGCGTCCTTCCCGCCCGCACGGGCCCCCGCGCCCCCGGCGCCCCGGGCGCGGGGGGGGCACGCGGGCGGCGGCGGGCGCCCCCC